TTCCCAGGTGATGTTGATGCTGCTTGTTGGGACCACACTTTGACAACCACTGCCCTAGGGTTTCTGGTAACAATGTATATTCCTGGGACCCATGCTAAAATCAGAATTTCTGGAATTGGGGTCTTTAAAAGTGCATTTTAACAAGCTCTCAGGCAAGTGTGGGAACCACAGTTTTAAAATCACTCTCACAATTTGGTTGGTTAACGTGACTATGACTGGACAATGTATCAGATGTCACATATCAAATCAGTGAAAAATAGAAATCATGCTAAATGACTAATCCCAAGCTTGATACGATTCAAATGAACACACTGAGTTTGGGTATAAATTCTAGCTCTGTAACTTACCAGCTTTTGTGACAGTGGAAAAGTTACATTAATTCTCTGAGCCTCGTTTCCTCATCTATAATGTGGAAATAACACTCAATTTGTGAGGATTAACCCTGATGTACACAGATTATCTAAGCACAGTACCTGGCATATAGCAGGCACTAGATAAATACTATTACTTATCATTATAAGAAATGTTTGAAATAATTCCTTCAGTACCTGATTTGATCCAAGCGGATTTTCATTAATTTAAATGAAATATTTACACTCCAAGGTAATAGAATAATAATAAAACCTTATACCTACTGCTCCCTATTCTGGGGCAGAGAGTGTTCTAAGAGCCTTATATATATTCACTTACTTAATCCTCAGAAAAATCCTGTGAGGTAGGTAGTATTATTATCCCTAATTTACAGATGAGGAAATTGAGGCACAAAGAGATTAAGTAAATTGCTCAAGGTCACAAAAATAGTAAGTGATGGAGCAAGAATTTACACCCAGGCAGCCTGACTCCAAAGCTCAGGATTCATCACAACATTTATTTCCTATAGGTAAATCTTAACAGTTTTTGACATTTATGGCAAATCATTTCTAGTAAAGAAAAACAGCATATATGGAAATTCATGTCCACACCACTGTGAAGAACTGTTCAAAAAACAGAATGAATACCGTGAAATTTTGGCAGATGATACCACAATGAAAACAGCAAAAAACAATTTAATAGGTAAAAATTGGCGTGTGTTTTCACTATGTGGACAGAATTAGGCAGTGAAATGAACATCCTCTCAAATATACCACCCAAAAGAGGTCATGGTTTTGACATGTTTTGGCACAATAAGTATAAATTATTTAGCTAAGCAGCAGAGTCGGCATCACAGCCACATAAAATTAGCATAATGATAAACATAAGGGAAATCAAAATCATTTGTAACACTAAAAATAATCTTATAGAAAGTCTGTAAAATATTCTGCTATGATACACTCAGATGGTATTGCTAAGGACAATAAAAATTAAAAATTTTCTTTCCCTCCAGAAATTCTATAAACAGAGAGTCACTAAAATTACAATGAGACATTTGTGAATGTTTTTGATGACAATCTTGAATAGGTATTCTGCCGTGTTAGAATTATCCACTAACAAAACAATTATTCCAAAAGTCAGTCA